GTTGACAAGAAGGTCAGTTGACGAGGAAAGAAATACATGGGGCACTGCAGGGCACCGGTCGTGAAACCCAAGATCTCCAACGGCGCCTGAGCAAAGGCAGTAAATGCAAAGGGCTGCAAAGGCAGTAGATGCAAAAGCAGTAAATGCAAAGGGCTGCAAAGGCAGTAGATGCAAAAGCAGTAAATGCAAAGCGCCTGTGTTAGTAAGCGCAGAACACTGCAAAACAAGCTCGTTTTACTCCGCTGGCATCCTCCGCCGAAATTGAAATGTTAGATCATTTGTGCGCTGGCTCCTCTTCCAAGATTTGTGCTGCGCTCACTCACTCAGTCCCAGCGGAACAGCTTGCCCTGCAAGACATTGAGTTTGTTCCGTTGTCCTCGGGCGTAGTCTCGCTCATGGACTTCGCGGGAGTGGTGCAGGTTCTGCCACAGGGCAACGTCGTCAACGCCATACTCCTGGAGCAAGGGCCGGGTGATGGCCTTGCTGACAGCCTTCCGCACAACCCGCTCGCTGCATCCAAGCACCTTATTGAAGGTGTGTTGGACGAAAGTGCGAGACTGCTCCTTGGGCCAGTACCCCGGGAAGAGGGTTAGGCAAGATGACGCCCCTTCGCCGTGAAGTTCATCGGTGAAGGTGACGTTGTGCTTGGCCCGTGGGCCAAGCGACTTCATGAGGACAGGGCGGTGCCGCTTCAAGTACTCCGTCAAGGCTTTGCCAAGCTTCTCGTGGAGAAACTTGCCCGGATCCTCGGGAAAATGCTATGTGATTGCACTTACTTCTTGTTAACTGCAGTTTACTCAGGAAGAAAAACAAAAATGCATTTACCACACCCCTGTCCTCTCGGAGGTCGGCCTCCAGGGTGCGCCACTTCGTCTTGAACTCTACCGGGTCCATGACCCACACGATGCCGCCCCCGGTGCGGAGCTTGCGGACATCCCAGTTCAAGACTGCGTCCTTGATGTCGGAAAGCCGGCCGTTGTGCCAGAGCAAAAGGCAACTGGCCAAGTGGGCCTGCTTCATACGCGCAAGCTCATACCGCTGCTTGCCCGCAACTTTGTCGGAGCGTTTGCCAAGCTCAGACACATCCTTTTCCTTCTTGCGCATGGCCTCTTCGAACACGCGGAGCTTGGCCAGAAGAAAGTCCAGGTCTTTCTCCTCTTTTGGGAGGAAAAGCAAAGCTCCGTCTCCGTCTTCGCCTTCCTCTTCCTCTTCTGCCAGCAAGATATCCTGGCGAACTTTCGGCCTTCGCCGCATGTCTGCGGTCACCTGGACTGTCAAAAGAAGATCAGAATTGCGTTTACTGGATTGAACATGAACACAAACCGCATTTACCATTTGAAAAACACACAGAAATTTACATTTACCGGAAAAGAAACTGCATTTACTGGTCTCGCCTTCTCCGCCAGCCGCCTTATGCCCTCGAACCATTCGTGGGCCTCCCAATCATTCTGGGGGTCGCCCACAAAGACCTTCCCCACTGCGCGGACCGCCCGGATCAGGGAGTTGAGGTATGCTGTCGTATACGGCACATACCCTCCAACCTTTTTCACAAACCGGGGGTTTTCCACGTAGTGGTTGAGCCACGGGGCAACATTTTCCAAGTCCAGGTACTCCCACACCGTGGACGTGGTCTCGCCTTCATGGTAATCGTCCACAAAGCGGACGAGGCCAAGGAACCGATCAAAGTAGGTTCCCGCCATTGCGTCCGATAGGCTAGCGTCCCGAAGAGGAATCGGGCCGTCGTAAGCACCGCTCACAAACCAGTCCCGTTCCTGCAGCAGTAAATGCAATTCAATTACCTTAAAGGAAACAAAAGCATTTACACGAACCCTCAGTCCTCTTGAAGGTGCCGGCCCTCCGACCGGTACCTGCGGCTCGTCAGGTTGCCCGCCAGCAAGGCGCGCGGGTCCACGTACCGGGGCTCGTGCACCTCCGCGCCCTCACCGTCAGCGACAACCCCGTCAGCCTTGATAGACTTTCGGGGATTAAGCTTCGGCACCTTCTTCGGAGACTCCTTCTTGCCCAAGCTTTCAGCGACAATCGCCTCAGCCTTTCTGGACTTTCGGGACTTGACCTTTCGAACCTTGGGAGGCTCTTCCTCTTCGTCCAAGCCTTCAGCGACAAGCGCCTCAGCCTTTCTGGGCTTTCGGGACTTGACCTTCGGAGCCTTCTTGGGGGGTTCTTCCTCTTCGTCCAAGCCTTCAGCGACAATCGCCTCAGCCTTTCTGGACTTTCGGGACTTGACCTTTGGAGCCTTCTTGGGGGGTTCTTCCTCTTCGTCCAAGCCTTCAGCGACAAGCGCCTCAGCCTTTCTGGGCTTTCGGGACTTGACCTGTGGAGCCTTCTTCTTGGGAGGCTCTTCCTCCTCATCGCCTTCCAGGCACTCCTCGAGCAGTAAGTGCAATTTAAACAGGGTTACCACAAAGAAAACGCACACAACTGCATTTACCTTCTGTCGACCCTCTGTCCTCGGCAAGGTGGCCTCTGGCGCCAGGCTCCG